TAATGCCTTTCTTTCTTTCGTACACACTGCCCTCAAGTGGGTTCCGACTCATAGCCACTCTATAGGACAGGGCAGAACTGCCCCTGTGGGTTTCTAAGACTGTAACTGTTTATGGCAGTAGAAAGCCTCATCTTTCTCCTGGAGAGTGAGTGGTGGTTTCAAACTGCTGACCTTGCAGTAAGCACTCCCATGCATAACCATTATGCCACCAGGGCCCCAATGTCTTTCTTGAGTACCTGCTAATCTTTTTTTTTTTTTTAAAGGAACCCTGATGGTGCTATTGGATAAGTGTTGGATTGCTACATGCAAGGTTGGTGGTTCAAACCCACCAGCCACTCTGAAGGAGAAAGTTGAGGCTATGTGCTCTCATAAAGATTAACAGCATGGGAAAGCCCTATCTAAGGCCGCTGGGAGCAGGAACCGACACGATGGCAGTGAGCTTATTTTTCATAATTATCTTTAAAAAAAATGAGTCCAGAGGATTTTTAAAAAATTTTTTTCAAATAGCAGCCTGTTATAAAGGCTAAAAAAAAGTACAGTGAGATGAAGGTCCAGAAATAACTGAAACAAAAAATTCTAAATCCACGAGTCAGAGCATCTCTTGGTTTCTAATCTGAAGGATTGAGCTTCTTAGCAACTAAGAGCAGCGGAAAGCTTTACCAGGTTAGAATCTGAAAGCTGGAGCCAGGCGGATTTGTGAGAGTCCAGCCGAGTTCATGCTTCAGCTGGGGAACGGAGGCCCAGGGAGTCAGGAACCCTGCCCATGATCCTCTGCTGTGGCTCAGGGTTAACTCAGATGTCCTGACTAAGAGGCCAGGGCTTTTTCTAACTTGGAATACATCAGAAATCCAATAAGCTCCAAACCCATTTCCACGTTTGATATTTTTACTCTCCATCGCTATTACACAATGGCTTGTTACTCAAGTCAGGGCACCAGTTGCTACAATCTGGCACCAGCTTGTTTTCTTTGTTTCCTCCTTAGGAATAACATATTTCAGGGGAAACGTTTCTGCACAAGACATAAAATAGGGACATTTTTGTAAAGAGTTGGTAAAAAGTGTTTGTAATAAATTTCTATCAGCTCTCTCAGAAGAGGCATTTTCAACAAACAGTTTGCCATTAGAGTTAAAAATCCTTTTAAATCATTTGTTTTACGGTTTTGTACCTTAAAACTTACCTACAGGTCTTTTCAGGAGAAATTTTCTGTATGAAAATAAAGAAATTTACAATTAATCTTTATAAACTTCGTGCCCCCCCCCCCCCAAAAAAAAAAGAAAGAAAGAAAATAGATCAGAAGACAGAGAACTTGCGGTAAGTATATTAGGGGGCTTAGCAGCTGCTGTATTTTCCTACTTGTGAGCCTTTTTGTTGCTTGGACCAAATGAAGGTGACTCACAGTTCTAGCCCTGAGTCACTTCAGCAAAGCACTCTGGGTGTTTGGAGTTCTTCCCGCCCACCATGCGCTTCTCCACAGCCCATCAGAACCGTGTTTACCCGGGAAAAGCGAACGGATCCAAGGCTGCAAACGTATTACACACAGGGAAACGGGAGAGCAGAGAGATGGGGCCTGTGTCAGAGAAGTAAATGCAGCTTTGTGCAGCCGCTGCGGCAGCTCTGTTTCTTTAAATATTCTTTTCATTAATCCCGCTCTGACTCGGAGCTGTGCGATAAATGATCTGGTATGATGTTTAAGTGAAGAAACAGGAAAAGTACTGACTGCTCCAACTGTGAACACAATTGAAGGGCCTGGCCAGAGCGGGAGAAAAATGTAGAACAAAAATCAAAATCATAGAAAAGACCTGACTTTCTGCTCTGATAGGGGCTGGTGGGATCCCAGAAACAGCACCCATGCGACACCCTTCAAACCTGGAAATGAACACCCCCCCACACACACAGATCACCTTTGGGCCACAGACAGGCCTACAAAAGTAAACACTGACTCAGTGATAGTGAGTTGAGTGAGACAGATGTAGAACACACGATTATTACCTACACCAAAGAACGGAGTGTGGGATTCAACGTGTACTTACTATGATGTCCATAAAAGGTCAGAGCCCTGATTAGAGATGGGGATGCTCCAGGAGATTCAGAAAGTCCTCCAGGAATCAGGTTGGAGCTGAGTCACACAAGATGAGCAGGAATGTTCTAGGTGGCCCTCCTCACCGAGGAAGTGGCAATGATGCCTGGTGATCAGTCCCTGTAGGACTGGCAGGCAGGCTGAGGCAGAATAGCATTTTGCTTCCCCTATCAAATATTTTTTTAAATGACACTTGTCACTCCCTGCTAAATAAACCTTTCTTCCTGACGGAAAATAATGAATTTGCTTCAATGGACTAGTTAAAAGATATTGGTAACGGTCAAATCTGAATGAGAATTTGTTCATTTCACACCCGAAAATAAAGCCCAGTCATGGAGTCAAATCTGACTTACACCTGCCCCTCTCAGACAGAGTCAAGAAGCCCTGGTGCCTTAGTGGTTATGCATTGGACTGCTAACTGCAAAGTCAGCAGTTCAAAACCACCAGCCGCTCTCCTCCAGTAAAGAGTAAGCCTCAGAAACCCACCGAGGTAGTCGTTCAGAGTCGATGGAGGTGAGCAAGGAGTAGAACTGTTCTGTGGGCTTTCCGGGACTGTGAACCTTTATGGGCTTTCGACTGGCGGTTCAAACACACTAGGGAAAAAGATGAAGCTGTCTACTCCCATAAAGGCAGTGGGTTTTGTTTTTTTAAAAGCTATGCATTCTAAAGCCTAGCTCACAGCGCCAGCAGGGCCTTATGGCAGAGACGCTGGCATAGTGGATTATGCGTTGGCCAGTAATTTGAACCAATCAGCTTCTCCTCAGGAGAAAGATGAGCCTTTCTACTCCCATGCAGATGAACTCTATAGGAATCTATATTGAAACTCTACATAGTCTATATGGGAAACTCTATATAGAGTCACTGTGGGTATTGAGTGTGTTAAGAAGCAAGAAGCAAGCAGATTTGATTAACAGACTGGATGTAGGACATAGGACACTGAGGAGTCCAGGTGATCCCTGTAGACCTGGCCTGGGTAACTGTGGTGTCGTAAAACTCCTGAGCATGGCCCTCTTCTACCCACGTCTTTGTAACTACCACCAAATATTGGGTAGGACCATGCAAATAAGGTGCGAAACACTAATAGAGGGGATTAGTCAGTGTTGCTATTCCATTGGGTGTATAAGTGAGTCATCTCAGATATAGGAAAAGAGGAATCCCAGGACTATGAAGAAAGAAAAGCTAGTTGTAATCCTGTTTGAAGTGGCAGAGGTACCTGATGCACCAGAGGCCACAGCACTGGACTTCCTGGTCCGCGGAATGTGGCAGAGATCAAGGGTCCATGTAACTGAGAAGCTGAGGACTAGAGAAAGACATGTGGCTGCTGGCCTGGATGAGAAGTGGCACACTGTGCCCAAAGAACTGTATCCATCATGTTTTCTAATCCTGACTTGTGGTAGGCTGTTAACCTCCCTAATAACCAAATAAAACCAAACTCACCATTACTGAGTCAATGCCGATTCACAATGACCCTATAGGACAGGGCAGAAATCCCCCTGTGGGTTTCTGAGACTGTAACTGTGTATGGGAGTAGAAACCCCTGTCTTTCTCCTCCATAGCAGCTGGTGGATTTGAACTGCTGGCCTTTTGGATCGTAGCCAAGTGCATCACCACTACGGCACTGAGTGTTTGCTTTACAAATACACATTTCCAGAGTTGGAGGAGGATGAGTCAATCTCCCAGACCTGGTTCCTCCTGGTGAACAGATGGCACCGAGCACTGTGTATGGACTAGTGGGGGTGGGGGATGAAAACACAGAGAAGAGGCAGGATGCTCGAAGGTGCCTCTGAAAAGGTGGACGAGGAGTGGCCTTGGCCACTGAGAAAGTCACCTCGTCTCCGGAACACCTAAAAGAGCCTGTCCCAAGTTCCAATTCGCTCGCCATAACTTAAAAGGTCCAAACGTTTGGCATGGAACCATTTCAAGTGGGAACGTATTAGAAAATAGAACTTCCTGACAAATGGGCCAAATGGAAACCACCAATACTAAAATTAATAATAGCTAACAATGTACCAGGCACCCACAACGTGCTTCACAAAGCACTTAACACGAGTGTCTCACTGAGGCTTCTCAGTAGCTCTATGAGTTGGGTAGCATTATGATGCTGTTTCACAGATGGGGCTCAAACTTGAAGGGATGTTCGCTGCTGGTGTGGGGTAGATGTGAGATTGGAAACCAAAGTGAATCTCCCCAGGACGCTGTGTGAACCATTCACATAACATTCATGTGCTATTGCAATGAGCTGTTGGGGTACGTACTTACAGGAGCAGTGAGTTATTTAATGTGGCCCTTTTACGCAAAGTCTCTAACTCTCACCAAATGACCTTTTTCTGAATGGCCCACTAAGAAGGTGGGGAAGATACTGATAGGATTCACCTGTGAGTAATTGTTAACAGGATTCCCTGGAATGCCAGCCTGCTGTGTTTAAAATGAACCCTCTGAGAAGCAGGCGCAGGGATCTCTTTACCAGCAAGAGCCTGGAGTGGCGCGCACGCTCTGGACTCAAGATCCTGCGCAGTGAACCTCCTGTATCCAGAAGACAGCTACACCAACAGAGGAGCAGGAGCAGAACCGGGAGCCAGAGCCTGGATCAGAGTGATGGACTTCCCAACAAGGGGGCAAGATGAGTGCTTTTGTGGCGTGGGAGGCTGACTTGTAGAAGTGGGGGGCTTCTGGGTACTTGATTGAAGGAGCTGGGTTTGCTAACCCACGGAGCTAGAGCTGAATGCTTTCAAATTAAGGTGTATAGCTGAGTGGTATGCCCTTTGGGCAGCCCTGAACAAACCTTGTAGCATGTCCTGATCAACAACTCTACCCTGAGCATCTCTCACTTGCATGGCAACTGGGTAACTTCCTTAACAAACCCTTTAAATCATGAATTTTGTCTGTCAGTTCTGTGTTGCCATTGCAATGGATACTAGAACCTAGAGACAAAGTAGAGAATGCTACTTAAGACAACACAGTGTCCCTCACTAAGCCCACAGCAACTCACCGTTATCAATGAGGCACTAGTGGAAGAATTCTAATCCAAGCAAGAGACTAGATTCAATTCCCTACCAACGTATCTCATGTACTACCTCTCAGTGATGGTTTGCATGTTCCTACGATACTGAACAGGTTTTAGGAGTGTTCTCACACTAAGACAAGGAGGAAAAGCCTGGTGATCTACTTATAAAAACCAGCCAGTGGAAACACCATGGATTACAAATTATCCGGTTCTGTGCTACACAGGGTTGCCTTGAGTCAGAGGCAGCTAAAAGCATCCTGAGGGGCTGCCTGCAGGTTAGTTCTGTTCAGACCAGAAAGCATCTCTATGGATGTTTGACAAACTGGAGGGATGTCCCTGAAATGAGTGGCGAATCAGGCAGTCTTAAAATGGAAACAGGTGGCAGAAAAAGGTACGCTTCAATGTGGGCCACACAGCAGGGGCTGCTTTAAATGTGAGAGCAGGGAAAATAACACGCCCATTGCGCCTTATCATTTACCTCTTTCTGAAAGCACTGCTGGTACCCACAGACGATTGCCTCAGCTCCGCTGTGCAAAGTGAGAAACACGGGGATGGTCTGAAAGAAAACAGAGTAACAAGTATGAAAATATTTTCTTCCACCCCATAATTACATAATCCTGGATTCTGCTTAAAAATAAAGATCTGTAGGAACTCTTGGCGTGCACTTACATAAGCCTCTCCGGGAAGACTGCCTCTCGCGGGGACTTCAGTTCTCTGCCACAGTGTACTGCTCTCAGTAGGGTAGACCGGCTCCCTTCCTATATGCATTCACAAATACGTAGTAGGCCCCTCCTGTCAGGCACTGTGTAAGGTGGGCACACATCTTGTGAGAAGATGGACACCTGACAAATATTTAAGGGTTCTAACAGGGGCACCCAGAAGGAGAGTGAAGCTCCAAGTCTAAGTGAGAACTCAATGAGGTACGGAGTGAACGGAGCTAAGGGAGAGGAGGCAGGAAGGAAGTACAGGAAGAAGAACACACAAAGGCCCAGAGGAAGTTGAGTCTGGCTGGAACATCACGTGAAAGGAAACACCACGGGAAGAAAAGGATGGAAAGGGTTCACAGGTCACGTCGGAGAATTAAAACTTTTTTCCTGAGGCGCCCTGAGGGTTTTAAAGGTAGAGCTGATCTACCTATTTTAAAGGTGCAAGGAGTTCTATGGCATAGAGGGCAGGTCCTAACGATGGCTACAAAAATCTAAGAGGATGGTAGCCTGGAAAACGGCCCCCCAAAATATTCACATCCTATTCACCGGAACCCGAGAATATTACTTTGCATGGCAAGAAAGGAGTCTTTGCAAATGTGTTCCCATTAAGGATCTTGAAATGGGAAGTTGATTCTAGCTATCTGGGCAGGCCCTACGTGTGTTCTTGTAAGGAAGAGGCAGGAGATGACTTGACCCATACAGAGAAGGTGATGTGAAGAGGGAGATTTGAAGATGTTGGCCTGGACGGATGTGGGGAGCTAATAACAATGAGCACATCAAGGAAGAGGCTGTTCTAGAATGGAGTGTAGTGATGACTGTACAACTCTTTAATATGACCAAACTATTGAAGTGTATGATATATGAATTATATTTCAACAAAACTATTTTAAAATGTATAAATGGCTTTGAAACTGGGTAATGGGTAGGGGCTAGAATAATTTTGAGAAGTATTAAATTAAAGGCCTAGCTTGCCATTAGAGACTTAGTAGAAATACAGACATCAAAGACTTTGCTAGCGAGGGCTCTAAGGAGTAGCCTGAGTAGGAGATAATGCTTCCATTACTGAGAGAATACACGTGTCATCTTAAGCATGGTGTTAGAACTATGAATATTAAAGGAATTTCAGGTGAGGGCTCAGAAGGAAACGAGGCACATGTTACCGAAAACTGGAATAAAAGTGATCATTGTGATATGGCAAAGAACTTGGCTGGATTATGTCTGAAGTTATATGGAAAACAAAACTTGCAATAAACCAGGGGTATTCGGCTAAGGAGATCTCCAAGCAAAATTATTGACAGTACAGCCTGGTTTCTTTTTGCTACTTACAGCTTAGGAAAGTGATTGATTAATGAAGAAGAAACGAAAACGTAATAAGCACACTTGAGTAGTTTATTAGATAGAGTATCTACTGTTCATTCACTGGGCTGTTTACTGAGAATGGCTCTCTCCTACTTTGCGAGACAATTCAGATAACATGAGGGTAAAGATGAAGAGGTATGGGATTTTTCTACTGTCTTTGTTACTGAAAAAGGAGCCCTGGAAGCACAGAGGCTGAGCACTCAACTGCGAATGGAATGGTCAGCAGTTCGAACTCCTAGCCACTCCATCGGAGAAAGATGAGGCAGTCTAATTCCATAAAGATTTATAGTCTTGGAAACCCACGGGAAGGTTAGTTCTGCTGTCCTATAGCCACACTAAGGCAGCATTGACTCAGCGACAGGGGTTGGCTTTTTGCTACAGCTGATGATAAGGCCAGTTACCAGAAGGCAGACAAGGATCAAGAATAAAGACATCGGGATGGGTATTAGATGCGGTTCATACGCCGACTCGGCCGCCTGCTAGTGGAGTGAGGCTCTTGACTTAGGGCACCTTTTGTTTTTCAACTGTCATATGGAGAATAACGATACCTACAACCAGAGAAGCTTCGAGGCGTGACTTAAGTCAAGTAGGAAGAGGCTCTCTGGTTCTGGGCCCAGGAGCACGGTCCAGGAGAGTGCTGACCACAATAAATGTACTGCTATCTTCCACAGCCTCTGCAGAGGACTTGGGCTGCACCGGCTGTTCACTTTGGAGACCCATTTATAGCATGTGCTGCTTGCTTAAACACAGATGTAGCTTTTCTGGATGGTTTTGGATCATCTATTTTTACTTGCTTTTTAAAAACTTGCTTTTGTGCTTTGTTCTCCCTTGCTCTGATTTCTTCCTTTTTCAGTTCTTGCCTTACATTCGTATCTGGTTCATGTTTTATGTTTTTACTTCAACTTTCATTAAAAGTTCAATGTAAACCATCTTTCTCTTTGACAATCATGCTTTATGGTAATGCATTTGCAGTTTTCATTTATCTTTACTGTTTCTCTGTAGTCCTCTTAGAGTTCCACATTTGGGCTTCTTTTTTGATGTGTTTTAAGATGACTAGGAGGTTATATACATTTTAAAGCGGGGGGGGGGGGGTCTAATGCTCTCATGTTTGGCAAATTTGGGCTCTGGCCTTTGAGTTCTGGGTTTGTGGAGGCGGCAAAGACAAGTGTGGCCGGGTTATTTCCGGTGACACGTGAAAGAAATATAAAAGCATGAACTCGATCCAATTAAATGAACAGCTTCTTTTTAAGGAGCCCTGGTGGTGTAGTGGTTACCAGTTGGGCCGAGATCCACAGGGCAGTAGCTGAAAGCCACCAGCAGCTCTTCGGAGAACGAGGAGGCTTTCTATTCCCGTAAACAGTTCCAGTCTCAAAACTCACAGGCGGAGGTCTCTCCGGTGCTGTAGGGCTGCGAGGAGTGCGTCTTGGCTCGGTGGCAGCAAGTGTGGTTTGGTTAAGGAGTCTTTACCGCTTGACTGTACAACTAGTCATGAGGTCAGACCTGGCACTGAGCGCACAGAACTCTGTCGTCTCGGCAGTGAGCAGCCTTCAAGGAAGGTTCATTTCCATTGTATTCCTCCTGGGCCTTCGGCCCTACTCTAATCAGAGTTTCAGAGAAGATGCATCGACACTGGTAGAGATGGTTTAAAAGTCCACGAATCGCGAATATCTATTGATCACCTGCCGTGTGTTAAGCATGGGGCTCATTCTTTCTTCTTTTTGCATTATCTTAATTAAAACTCCCAACAACTTTCCTATCACCCTGATCTTATTGACAAGAAAATCGAGAGGTGGGGAGAGATTGAGGATCCTGACGCATTGGGCTGCTAACTACCACAAGTATCCCTGGGCCCTGGAAATTTTGTCTGCTTTCTTTTTTTAGACAACATCACCGAGAGAGAATTCCCACACCACACACTCCACCCACTGTGAGTGGTTTCAGTCATTCACACAGTTGGGCAACTGTCACCTCAGCCAGTTAGATAGCATTTTCAGGACCCTCCAACAGAAACCCTGGCTCCGCTCTCACCCCCTCTCACCCCGCCGCCCTGGCCATCCATTAGTCCACGTTTTGTCTCTTTAAATACGCTTTATCCACAGGACATGTGGTCTTTTGTGACTGGCTGCTTTTACTTAGCATGGTGCTTGTGTGAGTTCATTATTTATATAATTGCTGATGTAAGGACTATACATCAGAGGGGAAACTGCCCCGACTCAACAGTTGCTACCTGTACAGTTCTATGACGTCACAGACGTTTCTTTTTTTTTTTATTAAATAAATTTTATTGGGGGCTCTTACATCTCTCATACATTCATCCAATGTGTCACGCACATTTGCACATATGCTGCCATCATCATTTTCAAAGCATTCTCTTCCCACTTGAGCCTGATATCAGCTCCCCATTTCTTCCTCCTCCTTCCCCCGCCCTCCCTCCCTCACTAGCCCTTGATAAGTTATAGATTATTATTTTCATATCTTACATCATTTTCCGTCACCTCTCGCCCACTTTTCCATTGTTTGTCCCCCTGGGAGAGGGTTATAGGTTGATCCTTGTGATAGATTCCCACTTTCTCCCCCCATCCTCCCCTAATCCTCCTGTTATCTCTACTCTCCTTGTTGCCCCTGAGAGGTTTATCTATCCTGGATTCCGTGTGTTGCAGGCTCTTATCTGTAGCAGTGTGCATGTTCTGGTCTAATACAATTTGTAACATAGAATTGAGGTCATGATTGTAGGGGTAAGGAAGCACCAAAGAACTAGAGGAGAGTTGTGTGTTTCATCGGTGCTATACCGCACCCTGACTGGCTTATCTCTTCCCTGTGACCCTTCCGTGAGGGGATGTCCATTTGTCTACAGATGGGCATTGGGTCTCCACTCCATGTGCCACCCCCACCCTGCATTTCACCTTGGATATGATTTTGTTCTAGGTCTTAGATTAAGGTGACCAGATGTCCCGCTTTTGGTGGGACAGTCCCGATTTTTGGCGTTTTAAAAAGTCTCGATTTTTTGAAAGAATGCACGACAAGCTAGGGAACGGTCTATGTGGTCCATATAGACCAAAATTTTAATCAAGAACACCACCACCACCCCACCAGCCACCACCCCACCCCGTTCAATGGTGTCCCGCTTTAAATCTGGTCACCTTACCTTAGATCACAGACATGTGCCCATGGCTGTGCTAAGACATTGGAAACCACCACTTGGCACTTTCTGTTGTTCCCATGCTTCCCGGAGGGGAATTTTGAAGCCCGGTTGTCATATGTCCAGGTGTTGGAACTGATTTAGAATTGTTTTCTCTGGGAAATCCTGGCCCTGCTCATGCTTGCTCTGAAGAGATGGGGATGGTTCCCTGTCCTCGAGCATGAGTCCTGGACTGGCTTCTTATTTTATAAAAGGGCATCATCGATCCTGCCTTGTCTGGTGATGCGTAAACAAGTGGGCGGGTCCTTAACCTGCAACACAGGATCACCGCACTCCACACCCCTGCCAAAG